AAACCAGACAGAAACCCTGCGTGACAGCCGAGCACAATTTTCAAGGCGAGCTGAACTTTTTATGAACAGAAACACCCGAGGCCAGACACTTTCAAAGAGTAAGAGGGTGCAAACTTCACCTTAGCCACATGAGGCAACCTATGAGATGGGGCGCACCAGCTTCTGGAAGTACCTGAACTCTTAAGTCCCCCCCCCCCCCCGCCCACCCGCACACTTCAAGCGGCTCTGCTCAAAGTGGAAGTCAATTCTCAAGTCAGAGAGGTCACTGACGGCACACCTTTCTAGAAGAATACGCGTAAACCAATTACAAGTGATCAGCACTGATAATGGGAACAGGAAAACTTGCAGAACTTTCTCATAAAGTGAAAGCATCCGATTACACTTAGAACCCAACTGAATTATTGAGAGAAAACTAGAGAAGTTTGCTTCTATTCCTTTCTGTCTATGTCAGATGTGCCTGGGCAAACAAGTGGGTCTGTTGACAACTGAGCACCGTGGCTAACTCCCACAGTGCCCATGCTGCGTGGCCCCCACCCAGAGACCGTCTGCTCCCCAGCGGCCCCCCACAATCTCCTAAAGTTCACATGTATTTCGCGTCACAGAGGGGATGCGGAGCTGCTGCATCAGGAAGCGCCTGGGGGCATCCAGAAAGGGGCAGAGGTTGGCCCGGAGGCACTTCCTGCAGGAGCCGCCCGCCCCGAGGACCACGGCTCTGTTGCAAGCCACGCATTACAAACTGAACTAACCTGAACAGCACACTTGTAAACACTTTCCAAATCACCCTGGTATTAAAACTTCAGAAGACTCAAAAACAGAAATAGTCCTAAACTTGCTACTACAAACACCCAGATAAAAAAAAAAAGTGCCACAGGGCTGACGGCTTCGTCACCATCCTCGCTGTGGTGACGGCTCCACAGGCACACAGGTCGAGTCACTGGGCAAACAGCACCCTTCAATCACGTGCAACCTATCAGGTGTCAAAAATTCCTCGATAAAGAGAAGCACAGCACCGGCCACACAGGCCACGGCTCCCGCACACCCCCAGGCGGTCAAGCTGGCCGTGAGCACCTCCTGTCTGGGAGCTGGAGGGCAGAAACACAGAGCTTTCCTCAATAGGAGTCTTCGCCAGCAGAGTCCAAAACCAGAGGTGTCATCAGTTCCCAGTGGCTTTTGTCTGCAAGGCGGCCATGTGCAGGGTATCCCGTGTGAAGAAAGGAGTAACAAACACAAGGACCAAAGGAGCCCCCTGCTGTGTGTGTGGGAGAGATCATCTCCCCCCCCCCCCCCCCCAACAAATGGGCTCCACCCCTGGGCAAACCAGGCCTCTCCGGTCCCATTTCTTCATCCACAGAACAAGAGCACCAGGAAAATTAGGATCTAAGGGCTCTCCTGTGTTACCTGCTGCCTACACTCCAACAGTTGGGCATTTCTGGAAAATCTGTTCTCAACCAAGAGCCTGGATTTACTCTTGGGGCCCCTGGGTAGCTGCTGGTTGAGCATCCAACTCTCGATTCCGGCTCAGATCATGATGCCAGTTTAGTGAGCTGAAGCCCCGTGTCAGCTCTGGGCAAACAGTGCAGAGCCACTATGGGACTCTCTTTCTCCACCCCTCCACAGCTCGTGTGCACGTGCCCACACGCTCGCTCACTCTCTCAAAATACATTAAAAAAAAAAAAAAAAAAGACCATGGGTCTACTCTTAAGTAACGTGATTAACCATCTTGCTGACAAGCACACACCTGAGTACCCAGGACAAAGGGGCCGTTTTAAAGCTGTTCCCAGCATTGCCCGAGCCCGACCATTGTCCCCCCAGCTGGCTTCCCAGCGCGAAGCGGCTGTAACTACCCTCCTGACAGAAAATCATCTGCTCTACCTCTAAAGTCCTCCCAAATAACGTGAAAGCTCCTGCCTCATAAAAACATATTTCAAGCGAGTGAAACAATTCCTCCCACTTTTCTCTGGTCAAAATCTAAAACACAACACGGCTACAGCATCCAGATCACCTAAGGAAAAAATAAAGTACTCATTTAACTTCTTGCCGCCCCCCTGACTCTGTCACCGAGGCCAGGGCGGTTCCCTGCAGCACGTGGTCCTGCCCAGAGGAGGGGTCTATAAAGGGCATCTTGGGCATCATAACTGCAGGTTTGCTCAGTAAGGACAGGGGACCCGGGGGCTCAACAGGTTGAGCCGACTTAATTTCGGCTCAGGCCATGTTCTCCTGATCCGTGGGATCAAGGCCCACGTCGGGTTCTGTGCTGACAATGTGGAGCCTGCTTGGGAGTCTCTCCATCTCTCTCTCAAAAATAAGTATTTAAAAAAAGGATGAAGACAGGGAAGGTTTTTAAGTTCTAAGACACTTTAAAAGGGCAGATTAGCGAGGAAAGAGACAAACTAATTTCACTTCACCACAGGGAAGAGGCAAAGCCTGGTTTTATTCCAAAGCGAACATGCTTAGTACATTTTAAAGCAGGGGACACCGCTTAGACCCAAACTCCACGAGCCTAGAGGTTGTTCCCAGGGCAAGTCAGCCCCCGGGAGACGCCATCGAGACCTTTCTGCTGGGCATACTGACGTGTGTGTCAGGGAAGAAGGCCAGGAAGGCTGCTGAACATCCTACGATGCACAGCCCCCACAAACAAAGGCTGTTTCAGTCCAAAATGGCCATGGTGCCACGGCTGGGAAACTGAAACACCCAGGAAAAACGGGCAGCTCCCACCTACTGGGCCTGGACAGGTGCCATGTCGGAGCTCATGAGCCCCACCCGCCTTCCTCCCGACAACCCCACCAGCCTCCACGACCAGCCTTCTAGAGGACGCTGAGGCGCAGAAACGGCAAGCCCCCAAGGGAGTGTCACTCAGCAGTGGGGGGAAGACGTGAACCCAAGGCTGAAGTCTGGCTCCAGAGCTCGAATCTCAGATGCTCTCCTGGACCACAATTCTACCTGCCCAGAGCCAAAATAACCCACCAGGAAGTTTCAGAGAACTACACACCCCTCCGCTCCGTCAAAGGTGCTGCATCGCTGAGCCATGGACGCAGAAGCCAACAGAGGTCTTGCATTCGGACGCAGCGGGACCTGCTGGGGGGCGTGGCACCGCCTTCCCTGCACTCACGCCGCACGCTTAGCTCAAGGTTAGTTTCCAAGTAAGTCGTCAGCATGCTCTGTGTTTCTAGTACTTTATACGGTGCTGCTTTGTTGTTTAGGATGATGAAGTCAGAAACGTAGCCGTAAAGTTGCATTACAAAACTCTGACAAAACTAAAGTCAAAGATTTAAAATTAAAAACAAACAAACAAACAAACAAAACCCACACTCACCTGGTTTGACTGTCCAGAAAGGTAGGGCTCAAAGTCATTGTCATGGACTGTATCCTTCTGATGCAAAGAACCATTTTGTACTAGAACAAGAAGTTGCAACATGTTATGTTCAAATTTTAAAAAATTACTTTCAAGCATGGAAATCAAAGACAGTAAAGCCTATGTCCTCAAGTTCTAAACATTGCTTTTACTTAGGAATGAACACAGGCAGTGCCCAGCTGACATTTATACAACTACCTAGAGTGATGACGCGCAACTCTCAACAATTCTGTTCTTGATAAAATTTAATCATAATTAGGTAGACCTTGACAGAATAACGCAAGAACGTGTAAATGGGCTCCGGTAAAGGTGGTCTGGCCTGGGCAGACGGGCGCCAGGCAGAGGCCTCAGTGCGTGTGCAGGACGGAGAACGGGGAGCCCCAGGCACAGGGCGGAGGCAAGGCTGTAACTGAGTGATGCTTCTGAGCTCATCAGTAGCCGGCTCCCCGCTTGCTTTCCGCTGTCACATCGCTCGGCCAAGAAAGGAAAGGAAAGGTAAATAAAGTGCTGGGCCCCTTCCAGTCTTAAAACATGATGAACCATATTTGGTTACACCGGGGTAACGCACACTGGTCAAAAACAGTCTTCCAAGTAAACACGAAGTGTCACTTACCGGCTCTCACGACAGTGAGTCTGGGGGGGGGAGGGGGAACCCTGAGCCAGAACCTCAGGAGCCGCTGAAGGAGACCCGGAGCATAGGGCTCTGGCTACCGGGCGCCCGCTACCCCAGGGCCCCCGGGAGCCGCCGCACACCTGCCTCCTTCCCTGCCCGGCGCAGAGCCACCATCTTGCGGGGGGAGGAAGGACGGGATGCCTCCCGCCACCCGCTGACTGACTTCTCCTTGAAAAGTCCCGGTTCTCCAACTGCTGAACAGCCCCCGGCACGGCCACCTAACACTGTATCTCCCGGAAGCACGCGGGAGAGAGGCGTCCGGCTCCAGACGCCCTTCCAGCCCGTCTCTCCGCCGCATGGCCCGCCGTTTCCCGGAGGCCCCCGCCGCCGCCTCCAGCCGGGACCTCACTGCCCGCGCCGACTTCGCTCACCTTTATTATCCTGTCCTTTTGTTCTCTGTGTCGCCGCAGGCCGGGACGTGCGCGCAGACGGGACCCCGGGGAGACGGAAACACAAAGTTATTCACGAGGACCCCTCCCGGCGCGCGGCGCGCTCCGGCCCCCGTGCGCCCCGCGGTCCCGGGGCGCCCCCGGCCTCCCTCCCCCGCCGGGCCCCGCTACCTGGGGGTCCACGCTGGTGGCCGACATGCTTCATGAACGGCGCGGCCGGGGCCGGGGCGCCCGCCGGCTCGGGCCTCCCCGCGAGGCCGGGCCTGTCACCCGCGCTCTCGCGGCCCCGGGCCCGCCGCCTCCTCCCCGGGCGCCGGCCGGGCGGGCGGCGGCGGCGACGACTGCTGGGCGCGCGGGCCGCTCGCGGGGCGCGGCGCAGCGAGACGAGCCCGGACGGGACGCACTGACGAGGCGCCGACTCCAATGGCGGCGGCGGCGGCGGCGGGGACGAGGCTGCGCGACGTCAGCGCGCGCGGGGCAGGCCGGGAGCGCCGACGGTCCGCCACGCGCCGCGCCTGCGCGCCCTCCGCCGGCGGGACGGATGTCGCGCTCCGGTCCCGGTATCGCGCGGCGGGGGTGGAGCGCGCCCGGGAAGTCACGTGAGCGCTCCGGCGCCCCAGGCACCCCACAAGCCTCCCTCAGAGGGGCAGCCCGGGGGTGAGCTCTGAGGTCGTGGGGATGCACCTCTTGGGCTTCCTAAGGTTTGTGTGGCAACGACTGTCCCCGGGAGCCCCGTGCTCCGGCCTCCTTGAGGGAGCTGCCGGTCCAGCTCCTTCGGGTCTCCAGGGGGCTCCCCAGTTTCCGGCCAGTTTGCGTGTTAGACTCCTGACCCCAGATTTCATCACAGGGAGGAAGAGACCGTTCAGCCCCCGCACTGCGCCCTAGTCCAGGACGGGCCAGGGGGCTTTCCGTCTCTGCCTAAGGAGGGACAGCCCCTTCGTGTTCCAGCTCCCTGAAAGGAGCCCAGTCCTCATTCGCACTCACTCCCACCCCTCCCAGGGTCGGGCCCCCTCCAGAGCCCCTGTGGCCAGTTCCCACTGTGGCTTCCGCGTGGGTCTCTGAGCTCCCTTTCCAGCTGTCTTTCCCAGTGCACGCGCATGTCGCATCTTCACAAGCCCCAGATCTGGGCGCTTGTGATGAAGGGGAGAGGCCTGGAATGCTGGCTCCCAGTGGGGATCACAGGACTGCTCCCCAGAGCAGAGCCCGGGCGGATGCCAGCAGGCAGGTTATGCACAAAGCAGGGTGGCTGGGGACTGCTAGGATCAGAGATCACAGTGGGACCCAAGACAGGCTCCGAGCCTGCGCGGGCCGGGGGAGACAGGGTCCGCGGGGCACCGGGCTACATCTCTAGCGGCTGCAGGAGGAGGTATGGATGGCTCTGCTGGTGCGTGGACCACGGGGGAGTCCGCTGCTCCAAACTGCACATCGCTGGGTCTCCCGGGGGTCCTGCCTGACCCAAAGATAAGGAAAGGCAGGTTGGACACAAGGCCCAGAGGAAGATCTGATGCCCTGCAGACGAATCTGGGTCCAGCAGGACTTTGGTACACTTGGGCCATGGCAGCTCACGTTAAGGTGAAATCCTGCATTTGGGATGGGCCGTGTCCAGCAAGGCGGCAGGCATGGAGAAGACACATCGAGATGGTGGTTGCCTGTTAGGTCAGTTGCTGGGGGGCGGGGCACCTAGTGCGATCTTACTCCTGCTGTCTGCCTTTGTGTAGGTGAGGCTGGGCATACCATGTGGGCATCCTCATCCCCGGGGCCCCGGCAGCACAATGCCAGCAAACCCAGAGCCAGGAGAGCGCAGTGGTCAGAGCCTGGACACATGGCCTTCTCGGAGCCCCTGCTCCTCCTTTCTCCAGTTGACATCCCTCAGACAGGAGTCCGTGGTGGTGACAGTGGTGGCTTAGGGCCACACAACTGGTTACGGCTTCTTCGCCCTCCTGTGCACCATTCCTTCCTTGTTTGGGACATAAAAACTCTCCTCTTCCAGGATAACAGCGAGGAGTAAAGGGTACGTTGTATGTACAGCCGTCGCATCAGGGCAGCCCGTGAGCGCGGGCTGTTCCCTGCGTTCGTCACCCGCCCACACCTGCCCAAGGAGCCACCCTGCACTGGGGGAAGTGGCTGCTCAGAGCGGCGGTGGGTTTTTGGGGGGAGCCTTCAGGACTGTGTGAGATTCTGTGGCTGCTCTAATGAAGTGCCACGAACTGGGCCGCTGGCAGCACCAGAGGCTTATTCTCTCTGGAGACTCGAAGTCCAAAATCAGTGTCATTGGGTTGAAACCAAGGTGTCATCAGAGACGCACACCCACCAGGGGCGGGGCCTTCCCGCCAGTTTCAGCTCCTGGCAGCCCCAGGCCTTCCTCAGCTCCCTGTCCTCAGCGGCAGGCCTTGTCCTTGGCCTGTATGTCTCTGAATCTCCTCCTTTTTTATTTATTTTACTTTTGAAGTAGGCTTCATGCCCAGTGTGGTGCCCAATGAGTGGCCTAAACTCACAGCCCTGAGATCAAGACCTGAGCTGAGATCAAGAGTCAGAGGCTTACCTGAGCCATTTAACACCTGAGCCACCCAGGCACCTCTGAATCTCTTTCTTCTTGAAAGGACACTTATCATTGGGTTTAGGGCCACCCTACTCCAGTATGAATGACCTTGTCCTAACTTCATCCTATCTTCAGAGACTCTACTTTCAAATAAGGTCATAATCACAGGTACTGGGTAGGTGTGAATTTGGGGGAACACTATTCAGCTCAGTGCACGGATCCCAGGTGATATCAGCTGGAAAATTTGGAGAAGAGCATCCAGGGGCTGGGCTGAGTTCCACCCACAGATGTGGAAAGAGAGGCCCCCGAAACGAAGGAGGTAGGGTCATGCCAGCTGGTTGGCCAGGAAAGGGGCAGAAAGGGGCAGACAGGATCTGGCAGCCATGATGCAGGCCCATTGGCTGCCACCCCAGCAGCTCAGAGACCCGGCAGAGCCCAGTGCCAGCCTCGGCGAGGCGGGGAGCCGGCGCTGCCCAGAGCAGGGCGCGTTGCAGCCAGCAGAGAGAATAGGGGCTTCAGGGCAGCTTGAATTTGGGGACCTTGCAGGCCCAGCCCAGAAGGCTGAGGCCCCTCTAGACCAGCACCAGCCTTTTCCTCCGCCAGGCCTGAGGACCCAGGAGGGATGGTGTTACGGAGTTTGGAGCTGGCCTTTCTGTGAGCGCAGAGGGCCAGCCTCAGGGAGGGGCATGGAGCCTCACCCGGCCCAGCTCCTCAGGACAGGGAGGTTCAGGGCCTGCAGGCCGGGGACAGAGCAGCTCCTGGCGGAAGAGGTGTGGGGCCTGCAGTGACAGTGGCCAGCTTAGGCTTTGGGGCAGGGCAGGGACCTCCGGAGCAGGGGTGGCCCAGCATCAGGACCTGTGCTGAGACCGACGGGCTCTCTCCACTGCCTGGAACCCTCTGCTCCCATCCCCACACGTGACCCCGGCTCGTCCTTCTGCCTTAGGGAGGAGCTGAGTCCTCACTGCCACGTGTGTCCAGTGGCAGAGAAAGCCCACCCCGCTCTGGGCCCTCCACCCTTAGACAGGGGCCTCCTTCCGGCCGAACCCAGCTAGCGTGGAATTTTCTAGATGTTGCTGGTACTGAAGAGGTTTGTTTCGATTTTCTATCTATTCCAAAGCCATACAGGCATATGGCTAAAAATCTCATCTTTATGCTCAAAGTGACAAGGTGGAAGCCCCTGGGAGCGGGGCCAGAGCATTCCCTAGGCCCCCACCCTGACTGCACGTGTGAGCACAGGCCCGCCTGTCCGTCCCTTGCCGCACCGTCCAGCCCGCACACAGCTCTGCATCTCACTGAGCACATCCCCTCGTCCCCCCCAAGGTGGTTCCTGGGCGTTTGGCTCTGGCGTCGCTGCCGTGAGCGTCGGGCCCTGGTGCGCGTGCACCACCCCTGGGGGAGGTCCCCGCAGGCGGGTTCGCTGTGCTGAAGGGCGCTCGTGTCGGCCACGACATGACGTGAGGTCTGGTAGATGGCCCCCAAGAGAGGCTGTGCCGATCCACCAGCTGGGAGGCCTGCATCCCAGCCACGGGGCGGAGCCTGAGGCTGGCGGTCCTGAGTTTGGGTGACCCCCCGGGAGCGAACTCTCCCCAGGGTGTCGGACTCGGCTCACCCGACAGCCGGCTGTTGGGGGCCTGCAAAACGAAGGCACCTGTCCACCCGACGGGTAATGAGGGCACCCACGCCGGCGTCCAGTCACTCTCTGGTCACCTTCCCAGCTAAACTCCAAGTTTGTCCCTAATCGGTGGCCTCTTTCCAGAAACCTCCTCCTCTTTCTGTGGACTTGCTTCGTCCCTGACAAAATCTGCTCATGGCCTCCAGGCATGTGGGTCCCCACCCCTGGCAGTAAGCTTGACCTGCCTCCTATGATTTACAGCATTTCAGTTTTGAAACCTTCTCTTTTTAAATATTTCACTGGGTCATTCATTCCATAAACATTAATTGAGCACTTACTACCTGCCCTGCTCACATGGGGTGCTGTGAGCACCAGGTGGTCTCTGCACTGAGGAGCTGGCAAGGGCCCGGGGAGCACTCCCACAGCCTGGAAAGTGGCTCAGCTTCCTCCCTGAGCGCCTGCTGTGTACCGGGAGCCAAGCACAGGGACAGGGAATGAGCCGCGTGCTGACAGTGACCCAGAGGGGGGATGCATCGGGGCAGACGGGCCATGTTGGATTAGAGCCGAGACAGGCAGAAGGGGCGCTGGTCTGACCTCAGCAAGGCCTCTGGGCCCGTCCAGAACTGAGGCTCAGAGGGCAGCTGCTCACCAGCCAGGCCTGGTGCCAAGGCACAACGGCGACTGCATCTGCCCCCCGCAGAGCGGCCTGCCATGGCCAGGCCTGTGTCCCCACACGCGTGCTGCACTGGTGGCCGGCTTGCCATGAGGAGGCGCGTGCAAACAAGCAGAGAGCCAGCCAGCAAGGGGCCAGTGGTTCTGGGCAGTTAGGGGGCCCCCCACTCTCCGCAGCTCCCTGCAGCCTGTCCAGTCATCAGTGGCTCCACCCCACTGCCTGACCTCCCCGCAGGGCCCGTCAGCTCCCTCCCTGCTTCTCCCCTCCCCAACCCCCCCACCCGGGGAGCTGTGCTTCTAGAATCTTAACTCCACTTTGCAGAAGGCATCTTCTGCCTCCTCTGTCCCCATAGACAGTGCCAGGTGGTCACCAGGAATCTCACGAGTGTGAGGGGCAGGGTATGGGTGCCCCCTGCTGGTGGCTGCTCTGCAATGTTGTCCCAACTCAGGTGGTCTTGACTTTGGCAATGCGATGATGCAGCCTGTGGCAAAGCACCCCACACCGCGGGTCTGCGAGGGCGCACCTCGGCTGGCCGCCAGGGGGCGACTCTCAGCCCCCAACCTGCAGGCTCAGGAAGCAGGAGGGGCGTCGGAGAGAAGGGAGCGCTCTGTTGTAGCATTTGCTCCTTGCTGCTTCATCACACTCCCTGGGGCGCGGAGTGCTCTGAGGGGGAACACAGACTCACACAGGCTCCCCGAGCCCATCCTTGTGACGCAGCGTCCCTCTGTTGACACCCAGACCCTGCTGGGTGACCGGCAGCAGCAGGGACCGGACAGAGGACAGAGGAGTGGACTGCTGAGAGTCGTCCTAGGGAAAGGGGAGGTCCCACATCGTCCCGTAGGATGCGCTGCTTCACAAAACACAAGTTCAAAGACGGAAGTGCTAAGAATGTCAAGATGGTGACCTCAAAGCTTGAAAAACCCCAAGCCCCGCCCTTCTGGGGTGGGTGGAATGCCCTGTGGGCAGCCCTGGGTCACAAGGCGTCAGGGCGCCACGAAGACTCTGCACCAGGGGTTCACAAAGAGGGGGGACCACGGGAGCCAGTGAACAGAAACCGTGGGGTAGGGGCTGGACCAGGAGCCCAGGGCAGGTGGGCAGGTGGGGCAGAAATGAAAGAGAGCAGGGCCTTCCCCGCACAGGGGCCTGGGTCTGGCCAGGCTGCCACAGGGAACAGGGAGGCAGGCATCTGGCCCCTGGGTGTGTCCTGGGGGCCCAGAGGAGAATCGTGCTGGTGCCTCAAGCAAGGCGGGCGTGGGGGCCTGGAGCAGTTGTGCGGTTACGGGTGCACCTGCCCCTTTCATGCCAGCATCATACCCTTCCAGGAGACTCCCTTCGGTCCCCGTGGTTTGGAAGTGGACGCCTCACCTGGCCCCTCCAGAGCCTTCGAGCCCCAGCCCAGGACAGTGCCTGCACCCGGAGATGAGACACCCTCCCCCCGCCGGTGAGAAGCGAAACTCGCAGGAGCTGGCGACGGCCACGTTGTCCTGGAATAACTCAATCCAGAGGGCAGCAGAGGAGGAGCCGGAAATGGTCCACCCTGTGCTTTGCCACAGAGACCAATACATTTCATTTTCTCTGAAGCTTTGAGTTTCTGTCACCTGTGGCTGAGAGTCCCGGCCACCGCGATGATGCATGGCACGCTGACCCAGGCCCAGACCTCAGATGCACAGAGGAGGGTGTCTGTGGAGTCCAGGCCCCCATCATGAGCCTGACACTGCTCAGCTGGCACCTGCTGGCGGGCTCCAGGGTCCCCACGACTGTCCCACACGAGCCCTGCCCCCACCTGTGCCTGTGGTACCCTCCTCAGGCTCCGACAGGCATGCTCAGCCCCTCCTTCCTGCCCCTGGCCTCCCTTCTGCAGCTCCCCTGGACCTCATGCTCACTCCGGGGAAACTTGGGGTCTGGCCAAGCCATCTCTTGTCTGCAAGGCCCCCGCTTGACCCATCCGTGAGACCTCTGCCCCAAACAGTGGAGTCTGAAAAGCCAAAGTGAAGGAGAGATAGAGAGCGAGCGGTTTTGAGCCCCTGTCGTCCACTCAGCCCTCGAGCTCTGCCCCCATGCTACTGGGAAATTTGAGGCCTGTGCCACCTGTTAGCTCTGCTTTCCCTGGAGCCGCCTCCCAAAGCTGGGGGAGCTCCTGATCCGGCCCTTCCTGAAGCTGAGCTGACAATTCCCCAGGCCCCTAGGCTGGGATCTGGTCCCAGATGTGGGATCCTCTCAAGGTTCCAGATGTTGCCCAGCAGAGCTGGCCAGTGGCCGTCCCCAGCCTCGCGGGGCAGTAGGGTGACAGGCTGCGGCTCACCATCTCTCCTTCTCGTTCAGGCCTCCCCCCTGCCTTCGGCCCATTTGTCATCCTCCCGGCTCAGCTTTGAGGGGCACCCGGGCTTGGGGAGGGGCAGGAAGGAGCCAGGCTCAGCTGTACTCGACTGTGTTCCCAGAGAAGCTGGTTGTCCCGCCCAGGCCCGGGCCCATGCATGCCAGGAAATAACCTCATTAAATGAGCCCGAGGGGATTCGGGCTGGGCTCCCACGGCAGCCCTGAGGCTGTGAGTCCAGGGGGCTGAGGGTGAGGTCCTGCGGCCTCAGGGCCTCAGCCCCAGCAGGTGGGGAGACGCCGGTGAGGCCCGCTGTTCGGTGCTCGCCTTTCCCGCGCGCCACCTGCTGGCCTCCGGGGGCTCTGCCCGCAGCTCCCCTCCTGCCCTGCTGCCCCGGCCCCGCCCACGCGCCCTGCCACCCACCCACCCCCGCCCCCGCCCAGCGCCCTGCCTCCCCCGCCCAGCGCCCACGTGCCCTGCTGCACCCCCCGCCCGCCCCGCACCCACGTGCCCAGCCGCCCCCGGCCTGCAGGCTCCACGGCTCCCAGTGGGCGCTCCAGGCAATGGCCCCTCGGGAACACACCCAGGATCCGTGTCTTGCCCATTCCCTCCTTATGCCCCCTGCAAGCCCCCCAGAAAGCACTTAGACCCCAGCGTCTGCTCCGGAGAACTCAAGGTAAGGTGCAGGGGTGAAGAGGGTGGCCGACACGGGAGCACCCTCTGTAAGTGACCCAGAACGGAGCCCATCCCCCACTCTCTTCCCTCCCCACCTCCCACCCCTGCTCTCCTGCCTCCCACGAGCCTCTGTGGCACCTGTCTGGGCTCTGCAGACCCCACAGAGAACCACAGGGGACGTGGCTCACGCCCTCCTGCTGCCTTGGCCTGTGTGTGGCTGACCCGGCTCTGTGAGCGCCAGGCATGCCCGGGTTGTGCTGATGGCCATGAGGCTGGGTGTCCCTCTTGCTGGAATCAGCTGCAAGGACGGGTCCCCCTTCACCGTCAGCAAGGGGCCCGGCTGTAGCACCGGGTCAGGGTGGGGTCTCGGGTGGACGGCAGTGGGCAGATGCCGCAGGGGTGAGTATGTGCGGGGGTCCCAGCACTGGGGCTCTGCCCCCACCTCTCCACACCTGTTCTTGCCCCCTCAGGAGCCCAAAGCCTTGATGGGCCTCCAGCGTGCTTCCCGGCGCCGCGTGCTCACTGGGAGCCCTTACCTGTGGCCACAGGTAGGGGTGCTCCTAGGCCAGCCAGGCTTCCGGACCCCCACACAGGGGGGTCACAGAGCCCTTTTCTCAGCCAGGAGAGGGGAGGCACAGAGGGGCCCCCGGCCCCATCTCAGAGAGTTTGTGGGATGCCTCCAGCCGGGGCAGCAGGCCTCACCGAGCCAAGAGCTAGGGCTCAACTTCCTCCCCCACCTCCTTTGTGCAGACCTGGGCCTGGCCTCAGACCGCACTCCAGGGGGATGTGTCCAGCAGGCCGACACGCCCGCCCAGGGGGCCTGGCCCCCGTCACCTCAAAGGGAAGCCAGCGCTGGTGTGAACAGCACATCCCACGGCTTCCACGCGAGAACATTCTCCGGTGGCTGTGGCTTGGAGGAGGCGGCACTGAGGGGCCATGGGGGCCCCTCTCTAAGGTCCTCTCGTCCTACTTCAACTGGCACCCCTCACACGGGCGGGAAGGAGGCCTCGATTCAGGGACCTTTCCCTTCAAATCCGCCTTGCTCTGGGTCTGTCAGGCAGCCCAGGGTCTTGTCTGGCTCCAGGAGAAAACACATGGGTCCTGCATCGTCTTTAGACCCCATCTGTAAATGATCAAGGTGATCTGGGGCGGTCTCCCCCCATCGCCCATCTGGCATCATCTCTCCTGGGGAGACTTCACTTTAAAGACACAGCACCCCCAAGGTCAAAGTGAGCCCTTAGAGGCATTGACAGACATTCGTTCATGGTTGGAAACTGGCAGAGGGGAAGTGAGCAGAGGGGAGTGTGGGCGAGGGGAGGGCAGGCAGAGGGAAAGGCGGGCAGAGGGGAAGCGGACAGAGAGCAGGTACATGGAGCTTGGCTGGGGGTCAGCAGCAGGTGGTAACAGCCCCGCTTAACGTCTCAGTGCCGGACGCTCATGGGCATTTTTGTTCCTTATTTTGAAATAACTCTAGATTCACAGGGAGTTTCAGAGACACGGGCAGGGGTCCAGTGCAGCGCCCGCCCCGTGGTCACATCTGGTGTGGCTGCAGCCAGAGGTCAGATCCCGAAACTGGCCCTGGTCTTACCACAGAGCTGGTTCAGATGGTGACTTTTATTTTCTTTCTATTTTCAGTGTTCTCCGTATTTCCAGAATGAGCATGTTGTAGCCAGTTTTACCTCCCTAGTTCCTTTATTTAATTATATAAACAAAACCCAGGGAATTGTTTCAAAATGCAAGCGCAGCTGCAGACGGGCAAGGCAGCGGGCGGGGCCCCCAGACGGTCTCCGGCGCAGGCAGCAACCCCCCCACCTCGGGAGACGCCCCCTTCCTCCGCTTCCTGACGGCGGAACTGCACGCCCAGACTCCCAGAACTGCTGGAGACTGCTTCCCCGGTGCCCCAGAGCAATAGGACCAGAGGGAACAGACCGCTCGGGTGCCCCTGGGGCCACCCGGGAGGGACGTCAGAGCCGGTCCAGGCCCCGGTCCCCAGCGTCCCCAGCGAGCCTGAGGGCTGCAGGTTTCTCTCTGGAGGGAAAAACAGGCTGGAGACTGGGTGCCCACCTCCCGTCCATGTGACGGTGGGGCTGGCGCGGGGCAGAGGGTCCGCCCCTGAGGAAGAAGGACCCTGGAGCAGGCGCCCTTGGGTTTGGCTGGAGTGGCCGGGATCAGGGTCCAGGGCCCAGATATCCGGAGACCAACATGTTGGGGAGTCCCAGCCCCCACGGCCTCCTCCGGCAGGAGGCACCTCCCCCATGGCCCCTGAGCAACCCCCCTCCCTCTCTCCATCGCCCACAGGCCACTCCAGCCTCGGGAGCCCCGGGACGGGGCACAGAAAGGGGTACAGTGTGTGCTGATTGCTGCCTGGTTCCATCCACTCACCACGCAGGGATTTCCCATGGGAAACCGGGTGGCCTGGGGCGTCTGGTGGGAGAGGGTTTCCGGGACACGCTGGGATCCTGGAACAGACAGCCGGTGTAGCCGGGACAGTGACGGGTCTCCTTGAGGACGAGGTGGCGGCCCCCACCCCGGACGTGAGGCACAGCTGCAGCTGGCGTGCGGGCCCACGGGCTCCCAGGTGCCAGTTGTGTGGCCGGGTTCACGCAGCTCTGCATCGAAGGTGAGTGAGGGCACTGGGGCCGGCCGGCAGGGGGCAGGCGGGGGGGCAGGCTCGGGGGCAGGCAGGGGGGCAGGTAGGGGGGCAGGCAGGGGGGGCAGGTTGGGGGGCAGGCAGGGGACGGGCAGGGGGGGCAGGTGCGGGGGGAGGGGGGAGGTGCCAGGGCAGGTGCTGGCCCAGTCTCGCCACCTCCTCCCAGTTCTTTGCGCCCCTCGCCGTGGCGCAGCCCACCCTGCTGGCGGCCTTGGGGGTGTTTTTGCACCAGGCCTGGGGCAGGTTAGCCCCTCCTGACCGTCCCCCCACCCCGCTGTCAGCAATGACCCTGAATAGTCTGGTTCCTCGCTTTATTCTTAACTTGTTTTGGAAAGGCTGCCGCACTGTGAGCAGCCCTGTGCTGACGCCAGTTGGGAGCCTCCAGGAAAAGCGTGTCGGGGACGAGAGAGGGTTCAGGGTCTGAGCAGACACGAGAGTCCGGTTTGCTCCAGGAGGGGGAGTCAGGTTTGGGCCCCAGGGCCGCGGCCCCCACACCCCATCCGGCCTTCCCGCCGGTCCTCTCCACATCGGACCCTGCATGCCCTCTGATCCTGCTCTGCCCACTGGGTGCCTGAGTGCAGCCCTCCTCCCGTGTTCCCTGAGTGTTGGCGCTGAAGACGCAGGGACCCCTGGGCGTGAGGTGGCTGGTGGAGACTGTGTGGCCACCACAGGTCTGAGGGAAGCCCACTGGGGAAAGGTCCCTTGGGGCCAGCGGCTCTGATCTGGACGTGGCGCAAGTGCAGTTTGGAAAGCTGGGCCCCCTGCTGGCAGTGCGGGCACCTGGCGCATGCCCACCACCCAGCAGGAGCTGAGGTGCAGCCACACCCGGGCGGCCCAGGGTCCGGGCCCAGGCTGGTTCTGACGCAGTGGGGGCACCAGGGAGGGCGGCGGGTGGCGGGTCCGTTTGCCCGAGCAGCAAGACCACTCTGATGCAGCAGTTGCTGGTAGCTGGACCTGTGACCCCTCCCCAAATGTCTGGGTCACAGTGGCCCCGGGAGTGCTAATTCCAATGGGAAAACAGCCCACGCTGTGTGACTTCACCCTCCAGCCTAGTCCCACTCAGACACGGAAGCTGAGGGAGGTGACAGAGGTGACTCAGGCCAGCCCCTTCCCCAGAGCCTCTGGAAGGACACAGCCCAACTGTCCCCCATCTTCATGGGGGGCTCAGTCGGTTAAGCATCCAACTTCGGCTCAGGTCATGATCTTGCAGTTTGTGGGTTCGAGCCCCGCGTCGGGCTCTGTGCTGACAGATCAGAGCCTGGAGCTGCTTCAGATTCTGTGTCTCTGACTCTCCCCTGCTCACACTCTGTCTCTCTCTGTTTCTCAGTAATAAATAAATGTTAAAAAAAAAATTAAAAAATAAAAAGGACTAGAGATGCACCCTGGCCTGCTGAGGCCCTTGCGCTCTGGCGGGGCTGGGGGTGGGGCTGGGCAGGGGGCTGTCTGCCCCCCCCTTCAGCTACAGGGATCAGAGCAACAGCTTCCAGGACCCAGCCCTTCACTAGGTCTCCCTGTCCCTGGAGGCCCTGCGTCATCCCCATGACAGGGGGCCGCCCTCCCCTTTAGGGGGCACTAAGTGCATAGTCCAGAGCACCTGGAACCTTCTGCCTTCAGAGGCCACTGGCATCTGGCCCAGCTCAGAGCTGACCCACAGCATCGCCTCCCCCTCTCCCCGTCTCGCCTCGCCCCAGGTCCCTGAGCCAGCACCAGCCCTCTGGTGCCCTGGGTGGGGTCTCAGTGCTCCAGCCTCTCCCCTTCTGTCCCCGAGTCACCACCCTCCCCTGTGGAGTGGGACAAGGCCCCTGCTGCCGAGGCCCCTGCCCGGGAGCCCCGTGACACACCCCTGCTGCAGAGAGCGCGTGATGCTGGCTGCCACGCTGGCCCCTTCCAGAAAGCAGTGGGCCCCTGGCCACTCCCCCGCGGGGCACCCGGGGGTCGGGACTGCGCCACCCTCATTGCCCCAGCTGTTGGAGGCAAAGGCCACTGCTGCCCCCAGGCAGGGCCCTGAGGTCAGGAGCCCAGAGGCAGGCTGGCTGGGTGCATTCCAGGACCAGCTTCCGAGGGCCCCGTCCCTGCGGCAGAACTAGTCCGGGCTGCCGTTTGCTCTATGGGGCCCGAGGACAGAGCCAAGCGCCAGTGCTGCGGCCCGGAGCAGAGCCTCTGGGCGGCGGGCCACAGTCCCACGCGGGGCCGCTGTGGCCCCCTCTCTCCGTGTGGCCACATCGTGGGCCAGGACGCCGGCTGTGCCCGGGACCGCACGGATGGGCAGATCCTGGGCCAGCTGCGCCCCCTTGCAGAGCAGGAGGGGGAGGGGGAGGGGGCCGGGGCTGCCCTGTCCACAGGGCCGGCCTTCCCCGGGATGGGCTCTGAGGAGCTGAGGCTCGCCTCCTTCTACGACTGGCCGCTGACCGCCGTGGTGCGGCCGGAGCTGTTGGCTGCCGCGGGCTTCTTCCACACTGGTGAGCCTGGGGGCCCCCGCAGGGGGGGCTGTCCCCAGCCTGGGAGTCTCTCCTGGCTGCTTCAGCCTGTGGCAAGTGCAGGGGTGGGGGAGGAGGGACAGGAGGCGTGTGGGGCTTCTGTGCGGCCCCTGAGACCCAGGGTGGGCTCTCAGGTCTGCGGGGGGCTGTGCCTGGGGCGGCCCCTGGTCTGCAGTCTCTGCCGGTTGTGGGGGGCGAGGCAGAGGCGACATTGCCACGTGGAGGCCTGGGCCTGACAGTCACCCCTTCTTCCCATCGTGGGGAATCCATCCTGGGGAGGTGGCACCTGTGCAGAGGTCCCAGAGCGCTCAGGGTTCCGGGTCTGACCGTCCACCCGCCTTGCTGTGAACGAGTGCCCGCACCACTCCCCACGTCACCCCCGAGACCGCGGGCAGCAAGTGAGATCCAAGGGGAATGCGAGGCAAACGGGGTGGCAGGGAGCAGAGGGGGCCCCGAGGGTTCAGGCGTGACCCCAGATGGCCCTTGCCGTGTGAGAGAAGAGCACCTGGGAGCCCCCAGGACCCCCCCCAGGACCCACCAGGCCGAGTGGGCGGGCCCAGAGGCTGGTGTGGGCGGGGCCAGCATCCATGCTCCTCCCAGGCCAGCAAGACCAAGTGAGGTGCTTCTCCTGCCACGGGGGCCTGCAGAGCTGGGAGCAGGGGGATGACCCCTGGACAGAGCATGCCAAGTGGTTCCCCAGGTGAGGGCCCCGCAGGCGGCTCCTGGGGTGGGCATGGGCCGGCTTCGTCTCCCCCACCTGGGGTGGGGGGCGAGATCTGGGGATGGGGGCCCTCTGGGGATGGCATTTTTGTCTCCACAACAGCCTTCCCAGCAAGTGCCTGACACTCAGCGAGCCCCCGCCAGCCTGCGCAGGGCACTGTGTGGGGCGTGCTGGCAGGCAGGGCCGACTGCCAGCCCGGCTGCGCCCCGAGGCTTCCCGGCTGCTTCCCGCAGGTGTGAGTTCCTGCTCCAGACAAAGGGAAGGGACTTTGTCTGCAGGATCCAGGAGTCTCGTTACCACCTGCTGGGCTCCTGGGTGAGTCGTGCTCCCCTAGGCCCTGGTGGGTCAGAAGGTGAGGGTCCCGCCCCAGCCCTGCACCTGTGTCTACTTAGGTCACAGATGTCCTCTGGCTCTTTTCAGGACCAATCAGAAGAACCGGCAGATGCGGCCCCCCCCACCCCTTCAGGTGAGCCGTGAGGCGCGGCCTGTGCTCTGCTCCCTGGGCACCTGCAGCCCGCACTGTGGCTCAGGCCCTTGGGTGTCCCCCCGCTGGAAAGCAGGGACGGTGAGGCCTGCGTTCTGTGTGCCTGGTGCCCCAGGGGAGGCTGAAGCGGCCGCTGCCACCACTGAGCAAGTCGCCGCGGGCGAGGCCAGTCCTGGGCTGGCCGCAGGGGTGGGAGGAGGAGAGGCAGCTCTGCACCAGGCGGCCCCGCCGTGGCGACGGTCATGAGCGCACCGAGGAGCTGACTGTGCTGTCCACACCCGTGCCCAGGACCTGCAGGGCAGAGGTCCGAGGGGCTCCAGGTCCAGATCCCGGCTCTTCTATCTAACCCGGTAGCAAGTGACTTCTGCTCTCTGACCCTCACTGTGCCGAGCTCTGAAACGGTGTGTGGGGGGGTCCTGTTTGGAGCTAAGCCCCGTCCCCGTGATGCTCTGGGAGCAGCGCCTGACGCCTGCGAGGTTCTGTCCACAGTGGCTTTGACCACGATGTTTGCTATGTTTTCCGCGTGGCGGCACCTCTGGGCAAACGCAGCCCTCCCTGGAGCGTAGACAAAGTGGCCGTGACAGCCACAAGGCCCTGTGTGAAGGCGGCACTGGTGACCGGCCATGGTAGCAAGCGGCCGCCCCCACCCCCCTCGGTGCAGCGTCCCTCACCCTGCCTTGCAGATGCCAGCGGCAGGCGGGGGTGGCCTTTGTGGAGCCAGTGCCCCGCGGTGCAGGCTGCGCTCCGCATGGGCTTCAGGCAGAGCCAGGTCCAGCGGCTGGTGCAGCATAAGTACCGCTGGGCGGTGCCGGCCAGCGTATCCGTGTCCCAGCTGGTGGCCGACCTGCTCCAGGAGGATGACGAGGGCCGGGCTGCCGAGGCCAGAGGTGCGTGCCCGCCCTGCCCCTCTCCGTTCTCTCCCCTGGCACATGCTCCCCCTGCCCCGGGGCTAGAGGGGCCTGTCCTGGCGGCCTGGGCCCTGGGGGCCTGGCATGCTGCGGGGGGGGGAGGGAGGAGAGCTGTTGGGCAGTGTGGGCTCCCACCAGAGCCAGACCTTGCCTGTGGCCCCCTCTGGGTGGGGCCTCGCTTCTCCTGGGGGCTTCTAGTCTGTTCCACACTGCCCACAGCTCCTGTCCACATGGCTCCTGAGCTGCCCACGCCCAGAAGAGAGGCCCAGTCGGAAGGTGCCACAGAGTCAGGTGAGGGTGAGACTCCCCTGGGGCAGGACGGTGTGCAGAGGGGGAGGTCCGTGGGGGGGTGGGGACGTGGAGGAGCCCGGCAGAGCCCAGGCCCAGAGGGTGCGGCTGGGTCCCCCCAGGAGCCCGGGACGCGGAAGAGCAGCTGCAGCGCCTGCGGGAGGAGCGGACCTGCAAGGTGTGCCTGGACCACAGCGTGTGCACCGTCCTAGTGCCCTGCGGCCACCTGGTGTGTGCAGACTGCGCCCCCGCGCTGCGGCAGTGCCCCCTCTGCAGGGCCCCCATCCGCAGCCGCGTGCGCACCTTCCTGCCCTAGGCGGGGTGAGTGGCCCCAGAGCAGGTCTCGCTTGGCCCAAGCAGGGCGCCCCCCGTGGGGGCCTCAGCAGGTCAGCACGGGCCCACCCTGCCTCTGGCCATCTTTCCCCGGGGGCTGGCCGGCACTGCAGGGAGGGGGCAGGCAGTGCTCCTGACTTCTGCCCCCTCCCCGCCCCAGCAGATGTTTATCAACCCACTGCCTCCCCTTGACGCCCAGATGCTTGCTGTTGTCCTTGTCAACACGGCACCCTGGGCAGCGCACCCCTGCACACACGCTGGGCACACACACTCCGCTTGGGCACATTTGACCACACCGGCAGGGCCCCTCTCTGCCTAGATTTTCTTAGTGATCAAGGGGAGAATGTGTCCTGTCCAGGTGCGTGTAGGGGCTGAGCCAGGCCCAGGGAGGATGGCTCTCGAGGTGCGTTGTTGTGAGAAAGGGCCTGGGCAGAGACCTTGACCTGGGAGCCGAGGCCCAGCAGGATGCGTGATGGGGGAGGGAGGGAAGCCTCAGCCTTTGCTTGTTGTGGGTAGCAGGAAACTTGGCCTCCTCCTGGCTGTCCCCACCATGTGCCCCCATGTCTCCCAGAATCTTCTGGGGGGTCGAGAGGCAGGGGAGGGAACTCCCTGCAGGCTGAGGTCCCTGGCAGTGGACCAGACGCCCGGAGCAGCCCACCCACCTCTCCTTCCCTCCCAGGTGCTTCAGATGCTGGCTGCCCCTCGGGCCCGTGGGGGGCCTGCTGAGGACGGCGGGGCTGGAGCTGGCAGCGCGGGTCCCCAGCCACAGCCAGGGCCGAAGGGAGCTGCAGACGGCTTGGCAAGGGGAAGAGGCATAAAAGTGGTTTTACCGATGCTTAGATGCTTTTGGAGATTTACAGTAAAGTGGTGGGTTTTCCCTGGATGGCGCCCAGCAGCCTCTGTTCCAGACGGCCGGCCCCTCCGCACCCCATTTCCCCAAATGCTGCCTCGCCTCCAGCCCCCTTCTCTCTCTCCCTTCAGCTTGTCTCCCAGCATTGTAACAACTTCTAATGTCATCAGCCTAAGACCACTTCTGAGTTGAGCTTAAAATCCAGCACCAGACCCCTGACTCTTAGGACGTGGGTCTACAGCTGGTACCCTTTTCTGTTCCCTGCTTGGGGGCACCTTAGGGACGCTGTGGGACTGGGGTTAATCCCTTCTGCGAATAGCATCACTGGCTACTGACAAGGAAGCACCTTGCTCTGTGGGCAGAAGGGGCCTGTGGTCCTGGTCAGGCCAGGCCGCCCTCCCCAGGCTCCGTCACCAGGGCACTCGAGGAGGGGGGGGGTTAGCCTGGGCGGCAGCCAGTGCGTGCAGTGTTTGATCAGGACCCCCACTCCCGCCCACCCCCCACCCCCCACCCCCGCTCAGGGCGGTGGGTGTGTCACTGCGGGTGTACGTGGACCCTCGTGGTGGGGTCACACCTTCCTGTCTCAAGGTCCCTGTGGGGCCCCCCCAGCAGTGGTGGGGGCGGCCTCCAGGGGTCCAGCGCTGTCGTCCCAAGTGCCCGAGGGAGGGCTGTCCCAGGCCGGCTGTGGGGGACGGAGATCCCCGTGCTGCTGGAGTCTTTTGTGTCTTTTCTTTTATTTATTTATTTATTTTTTAGAAAAAGAAAGCGATAAATTCTCTCGAGGCTGTGGCCATCCCCAGCCAGGCACTGGCCCTGCAGCCCGGCTGGTATCCGATCACCTGGCCCGAGGGTTGGGGCCCAGGCGAGTCTCCTCTAATCTCCAGTGGCCACTGGCTGGAGGTCACAAGCAGGAGGGACTGGTGCTTCCTCACTTACACAGGCCTGTGGGGGTGAGGCAGGGGTGGGCAGAGGTCAGGAGCCCCTAAGGAGCAGCCCTTGGCACCAGGGCAGGACGGCTCTTGTGTGGAAAGTTCCAGATGCCAGAGGGGCTGCATCCCAGTCCCTGGGGGCTCCCAGGCCTCCGGCAGGGGCTCTGGCCGCAGACACGTCCTGCAGAGTTTGGGCCATGCAGCTGGGGGTCGGGTGAGGGCGAACCCAGGCTCGGGCGGCCGGAGGAAGTTCCCCAGAGCATAGCTCAGGCTGGTCCTCTGTACTCCGGCCGGACTCAGGGGCCTGAACCAGGGCTCCTGTCACAGGAATGGGAGTCTCGCTACCCCTGGCGGCTTTTGGCTGAGATGGGCCTTCACTTAGGTAGGGGAAGGCTGTGGCTGCCCAGAGGACTGGGTCCCCAGAGGGTGGCTGCAGGCGTAGTGTGAAGGGCAGGACTGTCTCCGAGGGCCTGGGCGTGATGAACGAGCATCTCTGTGGAGAAGGACCCCCAGCCGCCTCTCCTGACCCCAGATTTCAGGGTTACCCGTGGTACCCGACAAAGGCTGCTTGAGAGGAGGTGGGCCAGTGGCCCAGGCGCCCCCACCCTGAGCCCACAGTGTGCAGGGCCCTGGATACAGACAGGAAACCGACACCCAGTGCCCGGCCACAGTGAGACCCGAGGGGGCTGCCACAGCGCCCTCCTGGGACGAGGCTGCTCGGTGCCCCCTCGTCCCCTGGCACAGCACTGTCCGAGACCCCCTGATAGACCTTGCTGGGCACTGAGCTCCATGGAGTGAGGCCCAAGCCCAGAGCTGATCTTGAAAAGTAATGGATAGATGGATGAATGGGAGATGGACGGACGGATGGACAGACAGATGCCTGCTGAGGTTTCCCCAAGAAGAGAAGCCTCATGGCTGTGCTAACCCAGTGGGCTGGGCCCAGCCGGGGACAGGCTCCGGTGGCCTAGCCAGGGGACGGGCTCAGGTGGCCATTCGTGTAAGGATGCCTGCTTGCACAAGAGGTCGTAAGACTTTTCATTGACATGGTAGAGAGGAAATGAGTCAGTCCACCAATGAAATCAACTAAACGAAATCAAGACCCAAATAAAACAAGCCCCAAACAATGGAAAAGATGACAGAATGGAAAACACATCCAACCACAGGCACTCATGCAGGCAGGGCAGGGGGGAGCCTGAGGGGCTGCGGGCGGGGGAGGGCAGGCCCATCTCAGACCCCACCCAAGCCCAGCGCTGTCCCCCTGGAGGATGGACTTGGGGCTCCCCAGGGAAAACGTTCCAGTGGGCACTGAGGACCTCAGCGGGGGAGGTGGCCTGGAGCCTGGAGCCGCGGGGAGCTCCACCACGACCTGCCCCCACTGCCCCGCCGTGTGCACAAGCATCAGTCGCCTGCCCCTTGAGGCTGTGTCTGCACGGCCATGGGCAGCAAGGCTTGCTGGGCAGAGGGGAGGCACCTCTGAACCCCAGGCCTGGTTCCCATCCTGAAATGTTTGCTTTAATGTAACCAGCACACGAAGCCCCTTCCACTCTCTCCCAGCCAGCAGGAGTCTGGGTGATGGTCTGGGGGTCACACAGCACAAGAGCTGGGGGACCGGGGGCTGGCCCTGAGCAAGTCTGGTCTCTGAACATAGGGTGCCATTTGAACACGTGGATCACCAACTCCACAGCCACCCGACTCCTGGGAACAGCAGCTCTGAACCCCCAGGGAGCTGACCCCAGGGAGGGTTCTGCTCACAGGATCCGTGGCTCCCTGGTGCACACAGTCCCCACTCACCCCGGCTTTGTCCTCTGCACCACGTCAGAGCCAGGGGCGATCAGGGCCAGCAAGGGTGCCTGAGCACTCAGGCTGCAAATCAGAGGAAGGTCAAGGGGGCTCACCTCTGAGCAGGAAGCAAAACTGCTGCCCAGATGGGGCCAGGTGGCACTGAGGGAGGGACAGGGACCCCCACAGCCAGCAGGGCCGGGTTGTCAGCTGCAAGGAGGCCGAGGGGCCCCTCCCTGTGGGTCTGAGGGTTCAACCTTCTGCCTGCAGCAGCTGTGGGGGCTACGGGGCAGACAGCCCTCCAGCACAGGAGCCCTGAGACCTGGGGGACTGGGGGTGAGCTGACTGCTGGTGCTCACAGCCCTGGGCCCCCCTCATCTCTTCTCAGGCGCCTGGGCCATCTGCCCCCTCTGCTCGGGCAAGGACCTCGGCGGGCACGGGGGTCCAGCTAAGAGGTGAGGTCTCAGGCTTTGCCAACAACAGGCCAGGAGAAGGCAGAGTCACCCCCTCTGGGCCTCTGCTTCCCTCTCCCTCCCCACTGCCTGGGGGCTCCCGTGGGAGCCTGGCAGCCACACACTTACACACTTACTGTCCTTGGTGGAAACCTGACCATGTGGCAGGCACCAATGAAGCCTGCGAGCTGAAAGACATCAAGAGGTCCAGATGAGGACTCCGGGCAAGCTGCAGGAGCATGGGACGGAAGCCCCAGCGCGTCCCAACCACGAGGCCACAGCCCCTCCTGCGCCTCAGTTTCCTTGTCTGTAAAATTAACAAGGAGAGTAGGCCCCCAGGCAGCACGTGACCACCCCTGTACGGCCGGCCGGGCCCAGCGGGGAGGGGTGACAGGTGTCAGGGCTGTCCTACCAACAAGTGAGTCAGGATAACCAAGTCCCTGCTTTAGCGGGAGGATGAGATGCAGAGAGAAGCGCTCAGAGATGCGCCCACGGTCTAGACGGACCCCGGATGAACCCTCCAGCCACAGCTATGCCGTCTTTCTGGGGCCTCTCCCCGTAAGCAGCCAACCGCCAGGCCTCTCCTCCTTGTGTGGGGAGGGGGCACCTAGAGGCAGCCCCCCTGGAGAAGTCGGAGCCAGCCAACCTGGATGGCTCTGCTGGGGGTTCTGAGGACCCAGCCCAGCGGGCAGTTCTGGGCAGAGTGGATGGGGCTTGACTAGGCAGAGGCTCCCCAGCCAGGCTCACTGGCGGTGCCCAAGGGAGAGGGCAGCTTGGCATCCAGTGCCCCGTGGACGCTCAGGCACCAGCCTCTGTGGGAGCAAAGGCTCCAGCCGAGATGGTGCAGGGCCCAGGCTGTCCTCGGCCCGGCCTCTCTGCACACTCGTGGCCCGAGCAGCGCTAGCCACGGAGGAGTTACTCCTGAGCGTGTCAGGGAACTGCATCCTCCTTGAGCAAGAAAGAGGGCACCAGC